ATGCCACGTAGAATTAAGGCAGTTCTGAAGGCGAAAGGGGGTCAAACACCGTATTAGTATGGTGTTCCTAATAATCCTTTAGGTGAGTGTATAAACCGGTACAACAGAAGTAAAGGGAATCTGCTCTGCATGATGCTGCTGGAGGTGGCACAGTGAGTATGCTAAGGGCTTAAATATTTACGAAGGACTTGCTGTGGCAAGCAGGCTCTGCTTTTCCTCTGCAAGGTAAGCTAATAAAACAAAGCAAGCCCCCCCCTCTGCCTGTGAGCCACACCCTGCTCTTCTCTCCTTACAAACAGAGGTGTCTGCCCACAGAGCTCATGTTTATGGTGAATGGCCGTTCTTCCCTCTAGGCATGAACAGCCCTGTACACGGCCTTTGCTGCCTCCGTACTTAACACTGCCTGAGAACGGCGTCCTTCATGCTTCTGCTGCCAGTGGTCTTACAGTGCTGAATTTAAAAGGTTAATGTAGAGCCTTCAGAGCTTGTCCCACATACAAGCGATCCAGCAGGGGACTCACAGTTCTGTTTTCACTTGTTGCTCTGACAGATGTGTAGCAATAGCAGTGGAGTTGCTGAGACAAGCAAGTCTTTCTGATTTTTCCTGCCTGCAGTGGTAAAATCAGTCAGCGTGCATGTTTTTGCGTGTATATATGTGTAAACGCTTCTTTGCCTGCCTTGTGTTGTGTTTTTTTAAATAACTTAGCAACCAGTCAAATTTTAAGGGCGGGCTTGTGTGTGGGCGGAGCTTCAACTTTCCAGGGTGCAGTCATCTCGTGGAATGTGGCTACCCTGTTCCAGACCACACCCACAGGCTGCAACGGAGAACTACCTCACCACTCTCCTCTCCACCTTTGACTCACAACCCTGTCAACAGCTATAAGGGGAAGCAAGACCAGGGGAGGCTGTAAAACCAGGTCTGGATTACTGGCATCAAAAGCAGCCTGCTGATTGGACCCCAGGATGGGGACACAGAGCCTCTGGTCTGGGTGTCAGGTTAGGGAAGGAAGAAAAGACTCCCCATCTACCAAAACAAAAGTCTGTCCATCTGTTGAGACTAACATTTTGAGTTTAGCTTAGCATCCATGATAAATCTGCCAGCATGATCTCCGAGTCACAGCTAATGATGTAATGTCACACCTGGATATAAAGTGACATGTTTTTAAACTGAATACACAACCTTTATGTCAGGTGAAGAATTGTTCTCCGTATTAAACATTCAGCGGTTTAATGAGTATTATTATTATTACTTTTGAGTGTGTGGTGTGAATTTCATTGGCCACAATTCTTTTGATAATTAGTGCCACATTGTAGGGCGCTGTAACGTTTCAGGTAATTGTTTAATTGTGTGTCAGGAAAGGCCCACAGATAGTTATCGTGCGACATGATTAGTTAATTAAAAATATCTGTGAAACTGAGAAAAAACTGTGCACGTAGCAGCTGTCTGGTTGATTGTGTCTATAGTCTAGTTTTTGGTTAAATCTCATTTAATATTTCAATTTAAAAAAAAAGTTTTTGCTAGTAGAAAAATAGTATAGTCAGTTTCTTAACATGTAGTGTCTCCCAATCCCTTTGAATTGTATATTTTAGCTTAACTACACCTGTTTTGAAATTGAATACTATACTGAACTGAACAGCTATTGACTCAGAGGGTTAAACGATTCGAGGTACGTGACTTTCAAGGCAAAGCAGAAGAGAGCCAAAGCCAGAAGAATAGGTCAGCTCTATTCCTTATGTTAGGATATAGCCAGAGGCTGAGTCACCGTGCAGTGCGTACGAAAGATGGCGTGCCCTACCCAGGGTTTGAACACAACACAGCCTAAGGCCAGGAAAGAGTCTATGATTCTGTTCAACTTAAAAAGAATAGCACAAAAGACTAACAGAAGCTGGTAATATCCAGCTGTTCATATCCTGGGATAACAGCACTGAATTTTAACTCTTACAAATGTGCAAACTGCAATTATCCTGATTCCTGTGAAATATTATCAGCAGGTTGTACTGATTATGGTGAATCGGTCATTAATTATGGCAAATCAATTATTATGATAAATTCCTGACAGAAGGGAAAAACATGATCAGCCAGCTGAGTAGCGGCTGGAGTCCAGCCGTAAAATTGTGAAGGAAAAGTTTCAGGTTGAGAAAGTTCATTTGTGAATATAGTAAAAAAAATGTTTACTTACCGGAAATACATTTACTTATAATACATTTTAGGATAGACATGTGAAAGGAAATGTATATTTTGAAATATACATGTGGTAGATAAGTAGATTAGCTCTTTTTACCCAAACCAGTCAGACCAGCAGGTCTTTTCTCAGTCCCAGAAGGAACAATGGATGTTTCCAGACACGCTCTGTCTGCATTGCCTACTTTATCACTCCACATGACTGCCTCTGAACATTTGACATTTTAAATGATGCCTGCGGGGCTCGAGCAGTGATACAACAGCCCTTCTGTGGCTGGCGTTCCACTTTCTGCCCAACGTGTCTGGTGCAACATTTTTGTGAGGCTGCAGCAAGATTAGCGTGGCAGCAGAGTGACTCAGCCGGACTTCAGTTTCCTGAGAATGGCTCCTATCTGCCTCCTTACAATCTTCGACGACGTAGTGTGAAAGCTGGAAGATCAGAGGAAGGTTTCATCACACTGGAGACCTGGGCAAAGAGGCACCGCAACATCTTCTGGCTTTGAGGGTTAAATCAGTTATATTATAGTTATTTGATTTTATTTTAGGGCTCAAGAGTGTAGTAACCTAGAGAATTCCCTAAATCAGTATGTGTATGATATGGGCCATGCTGAGTAAGCTCGTGTACAGTGGACTTTATCTTGCACACTTTCTACTCTTTACTGAGTCACCCTCCTGTTACTGAGAAGGAATTCAAGCACTCTGTATTTGGACTTGTCGTGCTGTCAGTAATGCATAGAATGTTTTTGACTGGATTGCACTGCAAATTAAAATGTCATCTGTGAAGTGTAAAGACAATGTGATACCTGTACATACTCACCCACTACTCTCGGGAAGCAGGTAACAGCACGGACTGTGCCGCTACTCGCAATTATACAGAACAAGTGGGTTCAGCAGCATCCTGGCCTTCGGCGATGGGACTTAGAGGCATGAGTTTGCTGATGTTTCTTATCAGTGGAATGAAAAACATGTTCCTGCACGGGATGTGAACCAGAAACGTTACCAGGTTACAGATCCACGTCTAACTGCTTTGCTGCAGTTAGTGTAAGACACTGAGTAGGAACGGTATCTGTAACCAACATCTTAAGCCTTCTGCACAAATGATACCCTCAATCGAGCCCATATACAAGAGTACTACTACACTTCTTCTTTAGTGAAATGGTACAGCACAAACCATAGAAGTTAGGAAAAGCAGATAAATATCATTTGAACAAAATTAGCCCTTGTTAGTTTAACTACAGATATCCGGTGAGTCAGCTAATGATGGTGGAGAAACTACTATACTGGTTGTGGTCAGTTCTTCCATTTTTTCCTTGTGATGGCATCTCCATTTTCCATTGCCAACAAAACTCAACATCAAAACAAGCCTCAAGCTAAGTTATCCAATTCACGTAACATCCCGTTCTTTAGTGGTCAGTGCTAAAATTAGAAGATTAGATAGAACTTAGAGCATATTGGTAAAAAATCAGATGGAGAGTATCTGTCCAAAACCCATAGTTAACAAGCTGAAAACAGGACTGGAGTTTGCATTATGTTGTATTTTGTCAGTCCGCATATGTTTAGCTCCTTCAAGAAATAGCTGGTTACTGCACTGGAATCGGCTGAGTCCATTTTATGGTTTGGGAAGAACAATCTATCTGTTGTTACACCCCAGTGCTGCCTGCAGTGCACCTGTATCACGGAGCTGTGGAGCTGAAGCATGTGCGTTAAGTTTAAGGTCTGGATATTGTACCAGTTGTGAAAAAACATGTTAGCAAAAAAGTGGCTCCCACTCTTACGTCGCTCCTACAGGGTCAGGAGTTTTAATCCTAACTGTGCTGCACTAAATAATGTGCTTCCATCAGAGCTGACTCTGGGAAACATGCAGACATTTATTCCCAGAAAAGGCTTGTTTTCATGCAGCCATATAGGGGTTTCCCAACCGGGCCCCGGGACGCTGGGTGTTTTACGGAGGGGTTGGTTAATTTTCAAAATAAACCGCCGATCTGCCGGTCCTCCCGCCGCCCACTCGGCCATTTTACCAGTCCATGAAATTTCTGTAGCACGTAAACCGGTCCGCGGCTATCAACAGGTTGGGAACCCTTGCATTGCATATCCAGTTAACATGAAGCGATATAGCTAATTTTTAATCACTTACCCCCCTCTAGTGGTAATTATCCAAAACTACACGAAGTACAACGCGAAGATTCAGAAGGAATACGCTTTCATGAAACACGTATGGGGATCTCTTACTTTACCAGCCTTACCCCTCAGTCACTTTTATTGTATGTATCCAGGGGCGGATCCCGACAGGGGCAGGATTGGCAGTTGCCCAAGGCGGCATCGTCTGAGGGAGTGCCGACTTGGCAAAGTCCCGGCACCGCCCCCACCTCGGTCGACAACTCTCTTTTATGATGTTTCAGTGAACATCAAATTGGGTGTGTTGGAGCTGTGTCGTGTCCTTCAGATCTTGTTCTTCTCAATGAATAGACTTCACTTCAGGGAAGAATCTACGCAGGACCAGTCATTCCTACAGGCGACATAGGCGGCTTAGGGCGCCAACTTCTGAGGTCATCCAGGGCATCCCCGTCGGCTAAGACAAGTACTAAATCTGTGTCTCATTTCTTTAAAATTAATTGATTTAATTTCAGAACTATCATAAGCCTATCTAAAACTTGCTGAGTATCAGCAATTGCTGCCTGAATGTATGATTGACGCTTTTCTCCCTCACGGTGCATTTGTTCCCACGTGTGTCTATTTGTTTGCCCTGATGTGAGACAAAGGATATGTGTTGCTTTGTACAGTACTTTTACATCAGGGGTTCAAAAACGAGGCAATATATAGGCATTTTAAAAACTTTAATTATTTACTCTCAAAAGCAGGCCTACCGAACAATTTCATTTCGCTGTTGGGGTGGAAAATGAACAGCAACATTTCTCAACAGCAATTCCTGAGGGGGACATAAAACTACTGCTGTGCTCTTATTAAATGTATATACAGTATAGGCCTATTCATATACACTGAATCAGTGGCTGGTTAATAACTTAATGTTAGCAAGTTGAAATGTTTTAACTACATTATAAAGTCTTTGCATGTGTGCCACTGGAATAATTTCCGAGTCTGACAATGACCCAACTAAATCAATCAAAATATTCCCTCAAAAATATTTATTGCACTGTTTCTCTTAACAAGATACATAGAATTAGGTTACGCCACCAAATGTTCCCTCTGTCTCCTTTGCCTAATGACACCATTATATGCATTATATTGACATTGCCATAGTCTTTTATAAAGATTTTTTATCAAATTGCCTTTGGTATTACTGGCAACTTTCTTTTTTACTTACTTGGCATATTGATGCACTGAAAAACAACTATTTATTTACCTTTTTGCCATTTTGGCTGGATGACAAAACACACACACGGCATGTAGATTATTTAAAGCAGGAGAGAAGCAACACCCATTAACGGATGTGAAATTAATAAAGCTAAAGGTTCACCCATGAGGTAACGGAACCAACAAGATGCATTTAATAGGTCAACCAAAACAGGCACATCACTCCCCAAAAGCATATCTGTTGATAGAGCCTCGACCATACCAACCTGCAGCAAATAAAGCATACTATTGATTTCAGCAGCATCGATTTCAACCCTCTGAGTTCTTGCAATAGACGGTCTTCCCGGGACCCTTGGGAAACCAGAAAGGATCTCAGTACGACACTACTTCTGTTTTCATTGAAGACATGGTTGGCATTTGCTGGGGTGATTTCATCTTGGGCCTTGCCACATCACCCTCATCTGACTCTTCTTCCTCCACTGTGTCCCAGACTGGCTCCTCCTCACACTTTTCTGGCCTTTTCTGCGATCTGAGACCAGAGCGTCCTTTGGTTACTGTTGTCTTCTTACGACCGGCCATCCGACTTCTGACACCAAAATGTCACCAGAAGGTGTTGCAAAATTTGCCTGGTTCTTGACACACAAATTCCAAAAGAATTCCAATGACTCAATCACCGTTTTAGGTGTTTTTATTTTCAGTGACTTACGTAGTGCCCAGTGTGATTTATTTACAGTGGAGTAGAAACAAAACAAAACAAAACAAAAGCTAAAACAACAATTTCACACACTTAGGTGTTACCAGCTTCACTCTTGGTAAGTTCCACGCACTATACAACATAGTACTCCAACTCAATCTCCTTGAAATGACCAAGATCTGGAGCTTATATATGTAAAGCCACACCCACCAGATCAGACCATACCTTTACCCCATATATGCAACAAAATACTAATCTGAATGCAAACTATATTAATTATTAATTAAATAGTATTTATGCAAATTATTTATACTTATTCCACAGAATAAACACAAAAATATTTAAACATGGACATCCCAACAAGAATTAATAAATTGGAATAGTCCACACATTCCCCCAACCCATGCATGGGGCGGGAAAATACATTATTTTAGGATTCCCCAAACAAAACCTCGGTTTCCCACCATGCTCCTATGAATACGTCACTGTGTCGCCTCATACACGGAACCAAAGACAATGAACTGACGCTCACGGAGATAAAACAAAACGTGTATAACTAAAATTAAAGCAATGCAACGATTAAGTTTTGTCTTTTATCCTAGTGTAGGTTAGCTGCATAATTAGGGTTATGTTTGTAATGAAAATGCATCGTAAATGTTTGATAAATGTAGAGATGCCGGTGTTGTGTTATGCGTGCACCCACAACTTGCCGGTTTATGGAGAGATGAATGTACATCGGTATGTTTCCGCGCCCTACAGCGATGTTGTGAACTTCGTCACATAGTCGACGTAAAAGAGAACTTTGTTATTATAAGTTTCGTTGTAATAAACCAACTGCAACATGATTAACCCCCGTCCACTTACGTGTGAATACCGTGTTCATGCTGCATATATGCAATGAAACTGGAAAATTTAAAGACCAGATAAGTTGGACAAAGGCTGGAAATCCTACATCTACGTATTTGCTTAGTTTTATCTAACGAGTATAAATTGTATGCCATGTAACGCAGGAAAGCATACAAGAAAAATAAAGCATACATTTAATACATGATGTATTTCTTTCAGATTCACGATTAGCCTAAATATCTACAGAACCAGAAAATGACAGCCGTCCCGGGCCCCGCGTTTCCCTCGGGCGTGGCTGCTGATCAGCCGTATAGGAAGCTCGTTAGGTCCGTTACTCTCACCTCCTGTTCCTGTCCCCTTGATAACCAGCCACAGCTGCCTCGTGTTTCCTCCCCGCAATAAACATCCTACTTGGCGTTACTTACCGACAGCCTAGCTGCCTTAGGGTCGCTCCGACGTGACAACAGCGTTACTGTATTTTCCCAAACTTGGGCTATACATAAAACATTGGTAACACTTTGACGGAGCACAAATGATGCAGCATTATGCTGTTACTTATGTATTAATTAACCACAAACTAATTCAGTGATTTCATACCGATCCCTTGTTAAAACATGCGTCACGATTCCTTAATGATGAATTATCTCAAGCAGTTACTATATTTGTTACTATATATCTGTTACTTCTGTACACATTTGTGAACGACTGAAGGAACAAGTCATGAGTAACAGAAGGTAAATACTGATTTAATGTTTGTTCTTCATTAATGAATCATGACGCATCTTTTATCTGAAGTAGCGACTGTATTTGTTAATGATTTCTCAGTAGTAACTTACTTATTGCTACAGTACGTATTTGTGCCCCATCAAGTAAAATGTTACCAAAACATTTGATAGTCATTGTCATCCCCTGGGCGACAGACAAACAGAAACGAAACAAAATTAAATGAAAGCGAAGTGCATCATAATATTTACATGGCCTTTGGTTTCGGTTTCCTGACTTCACAGGCTGGGCGGCATAAAACGGTTAAAATGCGTCCGAGTCCAATATCGGAGAAGCCAGTCTGCCTGAAGTCAGTCATCGTCAGGAATAGACAACACTGGGCTCTCTAGACAGGAGGAGGTTGTGTAAAATGGCTACAGGTTCGTATATTATTGTTGTTATTATGAATAATAATAATAATATTTGGAGCGTTCCATTCTTGAAAAATTCTTAGCAACACGAACCATAGGCCTATAACAACCGTATATTACGGATCCTGTCTTTTATAATTATAAAGCTGGTACAGTATGTCTGACTTTATACCCTTAACTATCAGACTGGACTCCCGCTCTCTGGTCGGATACCTTCGCTCAGCTGGAGGAGGACGAGCTGGAACACGGCGACAGCTGGGCGTTTCAGTTCAACTACAGCCTGACGGAGACCCTGACTAACGAGGAGAGGAGAAGAGGCTGGAAGATCTACAGTTCCAGTGCTCGCGGAAGGTGAAGCCGCCTTTTCACGGAAACTGTGATTTTTTAGATGTTTTATTACTATGTATAATAATGTCTACTTAAAACTACAAAAACGACCTTATAGAACTGCATGACGTGCAACGCGATATGGAAAAACGGAGTGAGTTTAGTCTGCTAACAGCCATGATCAGGGCCGGCCCGTGGCATAGGCAAATGCTAAGACCGCCAACTTCTGAATATGCGCCGAACTGCCAGCAAGTTTCATTTTGCCTCAAGCGTGGCGCGCTGGCGGTGATGCTCGCCTAGGACGCCACACCGGCTAGGACCGGTACTGGCCATGATATATGACTTTATAAACAAATATGTTCTTGATTTACAATGACCCTTTCAGTACCTGTGATAATTTTTAATTTTAAATTATATGAATATGATATGAGGAATGAACACTGACCATAAGGTATTTTGCATGCTGAGTGACTGGTCCAGAATGATCGCTCATACATTTAGCAGTATGAGGACCGGCAGGCCCCGGCCACAGACACTGGAGGTGTGGATGATAAAGTATCTTCACGGCTCCCATTTCAGTTTCAGTTGCAGCAGATGTTCCAAACAATGGACCTCCGCCAGAGCTGTAGTCCTCTTCCGCTACCGCCTGCAGAGCTCTTTGTGCCGGGGAACCGTCATCATGCGGCCCTTTGGCCAGGCCTGCCGCCGCTGCGACAGGGATTTTGAACGGCCGGGGTTCTCCCCGAAGGTGGTAGAGGACGTCCTGCTCTGCCTCTTTGGCAAGATCAGGAAGAACTGCTACGGAGAGGAAGAGGAGGGTGATGAAGACCTTGGCTCCGACAGCTCTGAGAAGGGGTGGACCAAACCCCATGAGAGTGCGCTATGCGAGGCCTGCAGTCAAAACATCTGCTGCCAGGATGAGTAGTGCCTGCGGGGCCCAGGAAGGCAGGCATTCCGCAGGCCTAACTCTCTGTAGAGGGGACATGGGCTGGGGGATTGTGTGCTGCTTTGGGATCTGTCCTTTTTACCTGATAAATAACCAGCAGTAGGGGTTTTAAACCCTTGTGTCTGTAAGAGTATTGCAAGCCAATTACCCATAAATCACTGTATATAAGCAGACTGATATTTATACTCTGTAAAATGTTTTGAATACATTAAAATCTTTCCGCTTTTGAATTTAACTATATATAGATGCATTTTTAATGCAATAATATTTTTTTATTGTCTTGTGTAATGTAAAAATTTAAATTCTCATATTAAATGTTAATAAATTTGAAGAAATCATGACCAATATATACTAATGTAATCAATATTTTTTGGTGTAAGGAGTATTGTGGTTAGTGCTTGTTAAAAAAATTATATACTGTGCTCACAGAAAATCTGTCATGGCGGGAGCGACGGAAGGTACACAGGATGGAAATTTTATTGAAGATACAATTAGCAAAAAAATAAATAAATGGATACGAGGGTCACACAAAAGGAAATGAGAGACACGGAGGCAGGGATGGAGTTGGACAGGGGACTGACAGAACCATCACTTAGTGAATGGAAGGTGTCACACCAGAAATCTAGTTTAACTGACCTGGAATGAAAAACTTCAAGGGAGCTGTTGGGCTCACAGACTCCTGTCCCCTGGATCCTGGAAGAAAAACTCAGTTTCAAACAACTTTAATGAATTAATACTAAACCTTAATTTTATATAGTTACTCATATGGTGAGTGAACAAGATTTAGTCTAAAAGCTTTTGAAAAATGTTAACCAACTGATCATAACAAGGCAAGAGCCAAAACGGCAACGGAAATGAAAGCATGACTCTTCTGTGCTGAAAGCAGCTTCCAAGTGGCTGCTGGGTCACGTGCTGATGAAGCGTTTCTCTGCCGAGGAATGAAAGTTTTGGGTGAAGCCAGACACGTTCCTCCCTGCATCACCAAAAAGAGGGTCGACATTCATGCAACTACATTGACAATAAAATTATAATAAAATACTTACAGAAATGACAGGTGGGTATTCAGTCTCGGCCCTGTGTTATGAAATTTGTGTTATAGGCATAATATTAATTTAAATCATGTCTAAACAGTAGAACCCAATCTTAGCTTCTGGTCTGTGATGGGAGGTCCAGGTTGGGTTGGGCGGTGGTTCTGAGGCTAGGGATCCGTGCCGGCAATCTGAGGGTGGCTGGTTTGAATCCTGTAAATGCTAGGAGTGATCCGGCTCTGTTGGGCCCTTGAGCAAAGCCCTTAACCTGCAATTTCTTTGTCCTGGGTATGACGTTAATCTACATCCAGCCCTATAAGCAGGTCCTCCAACTTACAGCGGAAATTTGAGGGTTGGTGGCAGGATTGGCACTCCAGCCACCAGAAAAATATCACACTGTTCCATTCCATTCAAACTAGCCTGGTGCTGAGGTATCACTTGCCCCATGGCTGTGGTGCTGAGGTATCAGCCATGCCATGGCTGAACTGGGGTTCTCATCCCTGAGGTGGGTAGTCATGTGGTGGTGCGGCAACAGGCTCCAATCAGCACCCCCCCCCCCTCCGCAAAAAAAGCAGTACAGGAAATTTATCGGGAAAAATGCGTTACTATAATAGATGATTTTTTGTTTCCACATATTGTCTAGACACTGCCTGGTTACTTAACTCCACACTGTTTCGATTTGCGCCGTTTTCGGTACCGCCTCTGAAGCAATCGCTTTTATTGTGCAAACAAGATTACAAGCGCAAGGCATAACTATAAATGGGCTCCATTACTATTGGCCGCTGAAGGTTTAATGTGCTTACAGCTGGGGGGCGTTTTGTTCTCTATATTTCAGTGAATCTTCCTGGTCTCCGACAGAATGGAAACAAGTTTTGTGTAGATCAGAAACAACCCGTAAGTGTGGCAGTAATACAAAAAAGTGCTTAAATTAGTTGTGGACAAAAATATTCAGATTGGGAGCCATTTCTGCTTATCTTCCTCTGCTGGATTCCCACCGAGTCTAAAATACTGCTGTCCGGAACATGACTCCTGTAAGCGCTTACATTTTAGTGACTTGCGTGGCTTTATGTGGCTCTAAGGGCGCACTGAGCGGCAATGTGCTGGTGGTGCCAGGAGAGTACAGCCACTGGCTCAACATGCGTGCCATGCTGGAGGAGCTGGTGAACCGCAATCACAGCGTCACCGTGCTGGTGAATTCCGCCTCCCCGACGGTGGACTACACCCGCCCGGAGCGCTTCCACTTCGAGGTCTTCCAAGTGCCTTTCAGCAAGTGCCAGTTGCACGGCATTTCCGAGGAGCTCATCCGCTTCTGGATATACAATGCGTCCGACGCTTCCGTAATGGAAATTGCGTCTAAGGTCATAGAAGTGACGAGCCAGGCGACACCTCTGCAGATGCAAGCGTGCGACGCGATGCTCCGCGACAAGGAGCTGCAGGACAAGCTGCGACGCGGCGGCTTCCATGTGCTGCTGTCTGATCCCATGATCCAGTGCGGCGATCTGCTGGCCGAATCTCTCGGGATCCCCCTGATCTACTCCTTAAGGTTCTCCTTCGGTTATACCATAGAAAGGTTTTGCGGACAGCTGCCAGTCCCGGCTTCTTACGTCCCAGCCGCCCCAGGACAGTATTCCGACCAGATGACTTTTGTGGAAAGATTAACAAACGTCTTAATGTATGCCTTTCATACCTCATTTTTTTACATCCACTCGGTAGTCAACTGGAATAGATACTACAGTGACTTTTTGGGTAAGGTAAAAAATTGGAGACAACGATCATGTGTAGAAAAATTATACCCAACAAATCAGACATTTGCACAATGAACGAAATCTGATAGCTAATTTCTCATGTATATCATAAATGAAAAAATTTTGTGAAAGTAATTCTAATTTAAATTGATCACATCACTATTTTTTGGTAAAGGTTACTTGAATTAATATTTACTATCATACTGCTGAGTTTATGCTTGTTTGTCCATTATACCTGCAAAATGTAGGAGAATGATCAAATACGTACAGATAGTACACAAGGCAAATTGTATTGGGGGTAGCAGCACTGAAATTGAAGTAAAAATGGACAGCTATGCTGAGTCAGGCAGTAGGCCTAAACAGTGCAGGACATGCAGCCGTAACTGTAGTTGCGTGTCCTGGCGATGAGGCCTGGTCTTATCTATCACAAGATAAGGATTGCATTTAAAGTTCAAGGTGTACAGTTAATCATTCATTATATTTTGCGATATGTCAAAAAATCAGTTTGTAACATTTCTAATCATCTAAAAGATTGTTGCATTTCTTCTAAAAAGAAGATAGTTGTGCTGTGGAGTCCTTCTTCTGTACGCTTAGATAAGTACGCTCCAGTGAAAGTGGCTTCAGTGATGCACAGAATCTCTCGATGTTCTCAGTTGATAAACTGGCTGAGATGAAAAAGCCACCGCAGTACAGCGCAGTGAGCCACTGCAGTACAGCGCAGTGAGCCACCACAATACAGCGCAGTGAGCCACCACAGTACAGTGCAGTGAGCCACCACAATACAGCGCAGTGAGCAGCAGGGTGGCGTCAGACACTGGGGCTGCGAGTCTGATACGGCTCTGATTGTCTGTGTCTGTCGGTTAGGTTTTATAAAAAATCTGTGACTGCAATCAAAAAACTGAAAATGCCAAACGACTTGCATTTTGTTTGGCTACTTATGGTTAAGATTAGGGCTGGGTGGGGGTTAAGGTTGTCATAGTTGGGATTAGAGTTTTGCCCATACAAATGAATGGACAGTCCCCACAAGGAGATGAATACAGATGTGTGCATGTGTGTGCTCTATCTGTCCTGTGCAGGCAGACCCACGACGGTCTGTGACATCATGGGGAAGGCGGATGTTTGGCTGATTCGCACCTACTGGGACTTTGAGTATCCTCGGCCTTTGCTACCGAACTTCCAGTTTGTGGGGGGTCTTCACTGCCAGCCGGCCAAACCGCTGCCCAGTGTAAGTGCCTCTGAAGCGGGACCTGAAAGTCAGGTCACCCTGAAAGTCACCCTCAGTCAGGCAGCTTACGAGTGTCCAAAACTTTTGATAATCACAGCCAGGCGCTTCTCCACAGATGAATGTGAACCCATATTCAGAATATGTGAATAAGCACTTATTTGACATGGTCTCAGAGGAGAGCTTTGTTATGCAGCACAAGAGAGGGATATCATTTTGAAATTCACATGGGAATTGCAGTGATACCTGTTTTGGTTCCTGTGAATTTTACATAATAGTGCAAAGTACTCTGCAGTGAATCAGCCAAAGTTACTAAAATGATACGTGTAAGAGAGTCACCTTAAAAATGACAGCTCATTACATCATACCGTAAAACTGTATATTGCTGTAGTTCTGCTTGGTGGTTCCCCACCTTCCGCCCTGCGCCGGCAGCTGGAAGGTGGATGGAGAGAGAATTTACAGAACATTACTGAACAGTTTCCGAAGCGATACGCAGCGAGTGGTGACTTTCAGGCCATTTTCATTATTGTTTGTGTCGCTGCCATAAACCTTCTGAGGGAACCTGAACTGTTGTGTTTCAGGATATAGAAGAGTTTGTGCAAAGCTCTGGAGATGCTGGCATTGTGGTGGTTTCTTTCGGAACGCTGATTCCGAACCTGACCCGGGAAAAGGGGAACGTGGTTGCTTCTGCTCTTGGACAGATCCCACAGAAGGTCGGGGCCGGACTATTAACCAAACTAAACCATTTTCAAAAGTATT